TGAAAGCATCCGATGTGATGCCATTCAGAGAGACTCGGAACGTCCTGTTCGATAGGTAGTTGTTAATTATCTTCACTAGGAAGATTGGAAGACCGTACTGCTGCAATTTGAACACCAGGCCATCATGCTAGATATTGTCGAACGCTTTTTCAACGTCCAACAACGCCATGGCAGATGTTTTCGAAACAGACTTGTTCCGTTTGAGAATGTTTGTTACTCGAGTCAGCTGGTGGACGGTCGAACGACCTTACCGAAAACCAAACTGTTCCTCGAGTAACAAGTTGTTTTCTTCGGCAGATGTTAGGAGCCGGTGGTAGACTGCTCTTTCGAACAGTTTTGATAACGCTGAGAGATAACTCGAAGGAGAGGACGGATCCTTCCCAGGTTTCCGGATGGGTATGACTTTAAATAGCTGACTTCCAGCACGAGGGGAAGTAGCCAAGTCGGAAGCACAGATTAAAAATCAGTGCCAGATGGTTGTAGAATCTGAAACTCAAGTGTTTGAGTTCCAGATTCAGGATGCTGTCGAAACCTGGGGCCTTCATGTTTTAAGATGATTTTATATAGGTCAACAGTTCATCAGCCGTAATCTCGGATTTCTCGGAAAAAATATTGGGAATCTGATGGAGGTTGGTTGCGTTTTCAGCAAACTCAGCTTCACGAGGGCTGACGATGTCTTGTCCGAGATTATGAGAGCTGACGAAGTGTTGAACTATCGTGGCAGCCTTCTCTTCAGGAGTTATCAGATGAACAACTGGGTTGCCGGGAATATCCAGTGGAGTCAGTGGTGAAATGGTCTTGATTAATTTTTAAGAATTTTGGTTAGTTTCCAAAAGGGCTTTCCACAATCTGGGAGAGAGCGGATCCTGTTAGCAAGTCCTGATTTCTGAGATCCACCATCCTGCCCTAGCAGCACACATGTCACTGAACAATTGTGGTTACTTGTGTGCCACTTATTCCAGTCACAATCAAGTTGCAGCAGCTTATTTCGATCGAAGTGTGCTGCTTGGGTGGCTTGGATGGTTTTTGTTAGAAGATTACAGTGGGTCTTAAGGACAGGCAGACCAGAGCGTTGGTACTGCCTTCGAATAGTGTTACGGAGTCTTATAAAGTCTTCGGTAGATCTGTCAAGGTTCAGAGTATTGCTCACCTGTCTGGATACTGGCACGTGTTGTTCCCTGGCCCGGGATATCGCCTCCTCGATGGAATGCAGACACCGGTCAACGTCTTAGGGCGTCTCCGGAAGGACACCGTAGTCGACACAGTGTTGGAACTGATCCCAGCTGACGCGATGGTAGTTGCGTCGGGAAGCTTGGAACAAGGTGACGGATGAGCCCACATCGGCCACCACCGGATAGTCCGAGCTCAGCTCATGGTGGGTCACAGGTTGCGAGATGTTGTCTCCCATGTTGCTGACGAAGATGTTGATGGTGGAGTGAACGCCAGACCGGCTCAAGCGGGTGGGAGAGTCCGGCGCTATTATGGTGTAGTGAGCCTCTTGCCGGTCGTTGTTTAGGAGTGTGCCGTTTTGGTTGCGTCGACTGTTGCCCCAAGCCTGGTGTTTGGCGTTCAGGTCGCCAGCGATGATGTATTTCTCACGACGTCGAGTTAGTCTGATAATGTCTCGCAGGTCTGCTGCCGACCCGTCTCTGATGGTGACTTGTTTGGGACAGTAGGCCGCAATAGGGCCGACAGGAGTGGAGACTTCCAAACCCACCGCTTCGATCATCTTCAGTTGGAAACTCGGTAGCAGTCGACAGCCAACATTTCTCCTTAATGAGATAGCCACTCCTCCTCCGCAGGAGCTGGTCCGGTCTAGTCTTACGAGCCAAAAATCGGGGAGGTGAACATTTATCTCCGGCTTCAGATGTGTTTCGGTGATGACAGCGATGTCTATGCTATGTTCATTGAGGAAATCAACGAACTCAATGATTTTGCTCTTGAGCGAGCAAGCGTGCCAGTTGGCTATTTTGATGGCTTCACGGTCCTTACTTTTGCACGAGGGTCATAACTGCACGAAGCTGTTCAGGTAGTGTCTTGGTGGTGCGCAAGATTATGATCACCTCAGTCACGGGATCACTAGTTCGTCGCTTGTGAGTGGAGAATTGTCTTTTGATACGATAATCCCGGGGCAGTAGAGCGATGGCTCGGCTGGGCCGCAGCATCAGAGAGGCGATGCTGAACTTAACGGTGGCTGGAACCTGCTTGATCTGATGTTGGATTCGTAACGGAGGGGGGGGGGGCACTGGTTTAGTGTAAGTGGTGCTAGGTTCGGGACCATACGACGAGCCGGAAGCACAGGAAACGTGTCCTTGTTGACAATAGGAGCACAATTATTGCGGTTCTTCGTGGAAGCCTGTTGTCGGATCTGGATGAAGGCCGCTCGCTTAGGATATCTCCTATCGCTGCCCAGATGGTTGGAATCAAAGTTCACGCACATTGTGAGCCCCAGCACATTTGCCACAAAGAGCCTTCATGTGACAATTCTTCGTACCGTTCCCAAATGCCAGACAATTAGTACACTGTGTCACGTCACGGTGCCGAGGGCGAAACTGCTCCCACTGAATCACGATGTTGAACAGAGCGCGAATCTGCCGCAGAGCAGCCACACTGGTGGAGTCCTTATCGAAGTGCACCAGGTACAACTGATTCCGGAATGCACTGGTTCCATCACGTCTCGCATTGGGAAAAATGTTGATTGGCTGCAGATGAAGGAGCTCCAATTCCGCTTTAATCTCCGCAACAGGGAGATTTGGAAGACCACGGATCACCATTTTCAGTGGTTTTCTTCCAGGGATGTCGTGAGTGTAGAACTCAAACCGATTCAACTGAAGAAAAGTGCCAACAGCGTTGTAATCCGCCAGCGTCGAGCACAAGATTTTGATCTCCGTGCTGCACAGCTTGAACAGCGGATGGATTTGATTTTTAGCCAGCACATTCCTGAGCAACGCGAGTTCCTTCGTCGAGGCGAACAGTGGGGGCACTTTTTCCCGTTCCTCAACTGGATCTATATCTGCTTCTTCGGGGAGTGTCGAGAACGGATTACTCTGAAGCAACCTTTCCGTGTGGTTGCTGGCACCAGCTTGCTTGCGAGGCCTTTTCGGGGCATCTTGAACGGATGGGGTTGCATCCACACTTTGGCGACCCATCACCTTTTGTTTTTTTCAACGGGTGAGTGGAGGCATTCAATTGTTGCTCCACTACCGCCGATTTAGCGACTGCCACAAGAGAGGCGAGAACTAACGACACGTTGCTAGCCCAAGCGAAAACTCTCGACGGGTACCACGGCCAATTACCGACTTAAAACACCGAACTACTCGAGATAGTGAGCGAAAAGAGAACCGGACTGTACAGCTTGATGGTCAAGCAGAGAATGAATTTTGTTCTGCGGTCAAAACATGCATGGTACCTCTATATACGCAGTTAGATTAAAATCCGAAGTCCGTCCTGTTTTACATATTCTGCACAAAAAACGTTCGATGCTCCAACTCTGACAGGATTTCCCGACGTTTTTTGTTAACGGGATGGGGCAGAAAGTATATTTTGTGCAGAATATGTAAAATAGGAGGGACTTCGAAGGTTAATCAAAATGCATATATAGAGGTACCAGACATGTGTTGCAGCGTCAGGTACTCTATTTTGAAGTCTGTGAGAGGGAAATCACAAATAGAATGTCTTCAAAATACATGGCATGTTGAAAAATTGAGCTAGTGTGAGCAAATTTTCTCTCTCAAATTTGAATTTTTTTGGCTCTCTGGAGACTGTTAGTTAAGCAGGTTAAACTGTATGGGGAAAAATCATGTTTTTATAATTGTAGCTTGTTTATCAATAATTTCTGGGAAAACACAGAACGACAAAGCCCCTGACTAATTTCTTTAGGTTATCGTTCACTTTTTTACCTGAATATGCACCGAAAGCAGATTATTCCCACTTCTCTCAATTTTTATATGGGGATTTTTATCACTTCCTACCAGCGGAACAGTGCTATCTCTGTAGAAAATGCCCGGACGATATGATTAATTTCGAACCCAACAGAGAAGATTGCGACTAGTTGTAAATTATGTGTTTCTGTTTGATATTGCTTAAGTTTTCATTCATTAATTGTTTGATGAATTATATTAAATAAATAAATAAAATAGAAATTAATATTCTGAACATTTGTAAAACTTCCTAAAGGTTTTTTTTTTAATATTAAGAACCGGAAAAAATTTCAGAATGAGAAAGTCTCACAATAGTACCCTAACGGAACTAACAATTCTTTCCTTTCACAACTTTCTCTAGCAAAAAAGTTCTCCTTAAGGCAGCTATTGGTATTAATAAAGAATCTCCTTCAGCTTTGGGAATGATTATTTATGTTAAGGAAAAAGGTCAAGCAAGTTATAAAAAGCCGGGTTGTTAATCGATAACTGTTGTAAATTCTCCATTGCAGACTTTATCGACGGTTATCGATTAACAACCCAGGTAGAAAGTATTAATATTTTTTTATTATATAGTTCCAGATTCCCTACTTGTCCATATACATTTGAAACGCTATTGGCTACCCTAGCCGCTAATTTAAATAACTGGTATTTGTTGCTCTTCGAGAGCAAATAGCTGCCACGATATGAATCACAGTTTTTGCTTCCGACATTCTACGGATCCCAGACAAGCACACCTGGCACTGGTTGTCGTCTACATTGCAGCCATTCTAGGTAGGTATAGGTACGTCAAGTGCACTATTGATGACAGCGATCCGGCATTACTCCAACTGAGAAAAATTCAATTAATTAGAACGCCAGCTCCCATCGAGGAACGCTCGCTCACGCTTCACTGGGTCGTCCCCCGTTTGCTGCTGCAGTAGTGCGCAGTGGAGTTAAATATAAATCGATTGAAAAATGCACTTAAATATGCATCCGAGCCGAAAGTCCTTGAGACACGACTGCGATAAAAGACAACAAGAATAGCAACAACAACAACAACAGCAAGTGCAGTGAATAGTTGGAACCGGGAAGGAAGCTTACCTGAAATGTCTGGTGATTCGTTAGCGAGTACATGACGATAAAGCCGTGACCGTTCTTAATGTACAGATCCCGCATCGATGCAAACTGTTCGGTGCCGGCAGTGTCCAAGATTTCTAGCACGCAGGGCGAGTTGTCCACCTGGAAGAAAAAAGAAAAACATCGATTAAAATATGGGTAATTTCAAAACATCTGCATTTTATTTTTTTGTGAGTTTAATTGGAAAAACAAGCTGTGATTGACTCGAGGAAGTTTCATTCCACAGTGTTTCTTAATCCAAATTCCAAAAACCGGCCAGTAGAAGTCATAAATCATAAAACTTCTTCGAGCTATCCTTTTCCCTGTTGGTTTGCGCCGGCGGCTCGGTCGGCGGGTTGATGGAATGCTAATCGATCAAGTTTATTTACGATTCGGTTTAGTCTATTTTTCAACGTCTCACCTTCATCAAACCTAAAGGCTAATTTTGACCGACTTTATGGCATTGTTAATTTTTGGGGCTATTAGGACTTCCATTTCCCATTCCGAAAAGGTCAATAAGTGTCGTTTGTTTCACCTCTTCTACAGCTTCGTGTGCCAATTGCTCAACACCACCATTATGCCAAACAGTAAACTTTTAATACCTTCAGTAAACAAACTGTCCGACTACTACCGGTCAGCCCTATTAATAGTTTGTGTTGGGGAATAAACGAAGCAAAAAAAAAAAGGGTAAAAATCCATCAAACCTTGTCCCTTCAGTTTCCCAGTTTCCCACCCCCTTTCTCCACCATCGCTGTAGTTTGCTATTGTTATCCATAATTAGTTTTGAAAACTACTTTAAAAGTGAAGCACTCTGATGTCTGTGTAAGCCTTTGCTGGAATACAGCACAACCATCTGGTCCAAGCCGTCCGTTCAGGGCCGTAAGCTGTAATGGCATTCACTTTCTTCAATCGATCCTTCCGGCTACTTTTGTGCCATCGTCTCCTTCTCCGGTGCAGCAACTATTGCGGGGGAACTTTTGCTGCACTTTTGAGTAATCCTCCCTGACCGGACAAATACTGCTAATTGAAAACTTTATTCTATGTCCTCGAAAAATGTTAATAAATTTTCGGCTCCCAGAAAACTTTTCGACCATCTGGGTGCCGCTGCTGGTGGACATTGCACCGGGCAGGAGGTAGCTTAAAATGTTACTCACCTGGGAAAAGTTTGTCGGCTTCTGCTGTTGCAGCTAGTCTTAAATGGAATGCAAATACCTATATATGTAGATTCACTAAGAATTGCTTTTTGGACATCATTCTCGTTCCGCCAAACAGGTTGCGTCTAGTAAGTTTTGAGTCGTTACTTTTCGGGTGAATGAATTACAACGGATAATTGGTTTTAAACTTTTGCTGTTCGTGTCAACGAACTTTTCACACTTGGAGGTTGTCTAGGAGCTACAAGCGTCCCTGAAAAATACTTATATTCTGGATAAGTTACACTACTTTTGTGTTGATAAAAATATCTGGACTCTGTTGAATGTCTTCGAATACCACAATATCCGAAAGAAGCTTTGTCAAGCAAGCTAGTCCCGGTATAAGCAAATTACATCACCCGGTAAGATTTTTGGCCAGACAGAATAAGACAACCGACTGAAGCTGTCCCTGGAATGGGGCTAAATCCGAGCGTTCAGACCACTATTTGCGTGCAGTGCATCCAGTAGCTGATCTAAATTGTTGGTCAGTTGGAGATCTTCAGAAAAAATACCTCATCAACCTGAAGTTTTGTTAAAATATCCAAATAACTTTATGAAGATCTTTGATCTGATAGTCTTTGGAATAATTCCGGATCACCCTGACATCTTGAGAGAATATTCGGGAGACATGATATGAATTATTGAACAGTTGCAGATCTTCGGAATAGTGCCTGGTCGTTCTGAAGTCTTGTTAACATATCCAAAAGATTTTATGAAGATCCTTGATCAACTGAAACCAGTAAACTGGAATTATTTTTGATTACCCTGGTATCTTCTGATTTGAATTGTTGGACAGTTAAAGATCTTCAGAGCAATACCTGATCGACCTGAAATCTGAACCTGTCTTATAACTGGTCACCGTAGTCAACATATTTTCTGTGATAATCGACTGCCTTTGCTTCCGACACTTGCAAAACAAGCTATAAAATTACAGTATCAAACTAAAATGTCCTATGACAGGCTCTATCATCATATAACGGCGCCGGTGGTGTAGTGGTAAGCGTGATTACCTCTCACCCCAGCAGGCCTGGGTTCAATCCCAGTCGGCGCCGCCGGGATGTTCTGAGGCATAACATCTCTGATCACGCCTTCCTTCGGATGGGAAGTAAAGCCGTTGGTCCCCGGTTCATGAGTTGATGGGTCGATAGGTAGGGTCCAGGTGTGGGAGCTGCCTTCCTGGCACGTCGGTAGCATTGGTGCTCAGCACGGAAAACAAGATCGACGGAAAAAAACAAACCAAAGGAGGCTCTATCATACGACACTGTTGCCGAAGACCGTCATGAATGTATGTATTTTAAGAGCTGCTGATGTTGTGCTTGTGTAAATTCTGAAAATAGCTAGCAACGATGTCCTAGTAATAACATTTCTTATCAGAAATGATTTAATTTACACCAAATTGAGGAATTAGAACGAAATCACATATGTCATATGATAGTTATTTGAAAATTTTCTTTTTGCTCGAATGTTGTTCTACCGTTTGTGTTGTGTAAGAGAGACGACGGTAGAGTATGAGAGTACGAATACAAACAGACTGTCGCGCATGACAACGAAGCTAATTTCGTCAACAGTTTCAACCCCTGGTCTTAACAATATATCCATAGGATTTTTTGAAGACCTTTGATCAACTGAAGGTCTTTGAAATAATTTATGATGAGCCTGATATCTTGAAAGAATTTCCGCGAGACAAAATGTGTAATGAAGGAATGTTGGAGATCTTCACAATAATACCTCATCAACCTGAAGCCTTGAACAAATATCCGAAGAACTTTATAGAGATTCAACAGAAACTGGATGTTTTTGGAATAATTCCCGGTCAACCTGATATCTTTAAAACATATCTAAGACCGTGACTTGACTTGGTGGACACACACTTAGAAATACCTAATTTTACACGTGACGGAATCCATCTTTGACATAAAGGATGAGACGTAAACAAACATGTCATGTAAAATTAAGTGCTCCGAGACTGAAAAGTTCGGTGCTCGACGAAAAGGATGTTTGATTGAGCTGAGTTTTGCGTCTTTTACGACTCAATTTTATGTCAAAAATGACGCTCGTATATGTCAGTCTCAGAACACCTAAATTTACATGAATTTTTTTTAGTGTGCAGTTGAACAACTTCAGGACAATAGCTGATTAACTGATGGCATTTGGAATAATTCCTGGTCAATCTGATGTCACGAACGAATGTCCAAGAGATTTTTTTTAACTAGTTCGTTTACTTGTAAGGCTCAATCGCGTTAGCTTTACGGAGTCGATAGTTGATTGTTCTTTGATTGTAACAAAAATTAACTTAATTCTATGTCTAGAAGAAGTTGGTCCGAATACTCGCGGCTTACCCAACCATTCTAGTATCTTCGTCATCTATACAGGGGAAATGGCTCTAATGTTGGCCTATGGATCTAAGATTGAGCCCATCGCTAAAAATCTGCTATTTATCAATTTTATTTAGATGAACGCCTCATTGGGATGGTACTAATGGATATTTTTGGTATCTATTGAAAATTTAGTCGTTTTTTGAATTTATGTATGGGCCCACATTAGGGACACTTTGGCCGACATGTCTGTCTGTCTGGTCTGTGTGGTCTGTCTGGTCTGTCTGGTCTGTCTGTCGGCGTGAAAATTTGTATGCAGGGTTTTTTTGGGGCCGGAAAAGGTTGTTATGATGGTTCGAGACACTACCCCCCTCCCATAAAAATGAAACAGAAATTTCTGCATAACTCGAGCACTAATCAAGCAAATGGAACCAAATTTGGTATGTGGAGGTATAAGGAGATGGTCATAGGGGGTAGCCCCTTATATAAGAGGAGGGGGCTACGTACAATATAACATGCTTTTTATTTAATCGCTTTAAACTCAAGCTAATACTGAATCCCGAGCCAGGCACACTCATTTAGTCATATATAAAACTGTCCACGAGGTTCATTCTATGGAGATGCGCGAGTAGTGGATGGACATGAGTCTACTTTCAAGAGAAATGATTTGAATTGTTTTACAGTTGAAAATCTTCAGAACAATACTTAATTAATCTAAAGTTTTGACCTGATATCATTGAAATATATGTATTATGTACAGCCATTGCATAGTAAAACGATATTATTATTATTATTATTATTATTATTATTATTATTATTATTATTATTATTATTATTATTATTATTATTATTATTATTATTATTATTATTATTATTATTATTATTATTATTATTCTTATTATTATTTTTATTATTATTATTATTATTATTATTATTATTATTATTATTATTATTATTATTATTATTATTATTATTATTATTATTATTATTCTTATTATTATTATTTTTATTATTATTATTATTATTATTATTATTATTATTATTATTATTATTATTATTTCACAAGACTTTAGAGAAAATCATACAAGTTTCAAGATGTTCATAGAACTTCAGAGATGTTCATAGATCTTTCCAGTAGCTCACAGAGCTGTGCATGAAACTTCTGATATTGTCATAGAACTTCCGAGAATTTCATAGAACTTCCGAGTAGTTCATAGAGCTTCTGAACAGTTCTTAGAAACTGCATGGTGTTCACTTTCACATGTTCATAGAACTTCCAATATATTTTAAAATTTCATTGAACTTTCGTGTAGTTCACAGGACTTTACTGCCGCTCATTGCAAGTCCGTCCCATAGTACAAATCAGCAAACCGAGAAAAACGTGTTTAAAGTTTGCTTCTCACCATTGCTGCTTATGTAATAGGACAACCCGTTTGGCTATTTTTCCCAACTTTTCCAGAACAAAGTTGTTGACTGCATCTAGTATTATGAAAATATGGGAGATTAGCTCAAATCAGTTTTGACAAAAACGCAAATGGGACCGACTTGCGATGAGCGGCAGTTTAGAGAAATACATAGAATGATGGAGATGTTCATAGAACTCCAGAGATGTTCATAG